AATTGGCAAAATAACAGGAAAGCATTCATATTATGCAGCCTAATGGTTATACCCAATGCACACTGCCAATCGGATTCGTTTGATTGAGTACGGGGTAGCCAGACTTTCCTTCATGGAGAGGGTGAAAGCTATCATTTTGGAACAATATGACAGAGTTTAACTTAATTTGAATCTGGCGTTTAAAATCAAACACGTCTGTGTTTCAATGTCGCTAGTCGAATCGGTCGTATTGTGCCAAAATAGTAACTTTTGCCCCTCGTTGATGGAAAATCTCGCTGGGCCTGACTCAGTCAAATGAATCCGATTGGCAGTGTGTACTAGGTATTGAGTTTGTTATCTTGCATGTGGGATTGTGAGTTTGATTCCCACGTCTGGAAGATGTTCTTTGGCCGAGGGTCTCCGTTTTTCTTCTACTCACATTGCTCTGGATGGCCCCAACGGCAGTGTCGGAGCCGCGCTTTTCCCTTTCGTCAACCCGCAGCCACCTCCGAATCGTCAGCCACCCCCAACCTTTGACACGGGTCAAACTTCCATCTATTTATAGGTAGTTAAATCTACCGGAACATGTATTAGGCGAAGTGATGTGCAATGATAGTCGCAATAGAGAGATTGTTTTGGTCTCTCTCTACTCATCTGCACCACACGAATTTAATTGATGTTTTTCCCTGGACTCTGCCTTTACTAAAGTCTCGAATCTAGATCTAGTTGTAATCTAATTGCAGGTTGCAGATTTAATAAAGTGCCGACAGAGAGAGAGAGAGAGAGAGAGAGAGAGAGAGAGAGAGAGAGAGAGAGAGAAGGGGGAGGAGTAGATCTTGCGAGAACTTTCGGGCAAAACGAAATGGTGACCCGCGTAGTTCGGTCGATTCGAAAAGTGAAAGAGCCATAGCATCTTTGTAGACGATCAAATTAGCTTACTTTTGTGCTATAACGTCATTTTTTTTCTTTGCCTTTGTCAATTTGATCATCCACACCGATAGAAAGCATTTCGAAATTAGGAAAAACAGGTCTTGTTTCACACTGGGTGAGAATAGCCAACGCTGGCAAGTCTCACCCGGGGTGAGAGGTCAATCGTAGGGTTTTTATTCTCACCCCGGGCGAGGATAGCAACAGCCACTTCCTTACTTAAATGATTAGGTGATTAAACTTGATCTCTTATTGACAATATAAAAGTCAATTTAAGCATCACTTCGTTAGAAAACAATGTGTTAGGTTTGCTAACTTCATAGACTTTGTGCTAAACAACACTTTTAACAAAACGAATCCTTACAAGCCTAGGCTTGGCCTTTGTAATCTCGAAGGTTTAGAAGTAGAAGAAGAAGAGTCTACTACTAGATCTAGAGTCTAGTCCAATTTATTTAATCTCTGGAATGTACTGGATAACAACAGAAATCTGCAACCTGCCACTAGATTACAACTCTAGATCTAGATCTAGATCTAGATCTAGATTCGAGATTTTAGCAAAGGCAGAGTCCAGGGAAAAACTTCAAGAAATTCTCGTGGTGATGAGTTAAGAGAGACCAAAACAATCTCAATAAATAATATATCGCGACTATCACGGCACATCACTTCACCTATACATGTTCCGGTAACTACCTATAAATAGATGGAAGTTTGACCCGTGTCAAAGGTTGGGGGTGGCTGACGATTGGGAGGTGGCTGCGGGTTGACGAAAGGGAAAAGCGCGTCGGAGCCGTCTGCCTTCGGACGGTGTACTTCGTGTTAAGGAATGTGTAAAAAATGAACGGTTGTCACCAAGTCACGTTTTGAGGCGGGCACCATCGTTAAAGATGAAGTTTTACCAGCTAACCTTTTAACTCTTAAATGTCTGCATGTTTACCGGCTAGATGCTACATTGTTGTTGTTTTTATTTCTTCATTAATCAGGCGTATCTGCCTTTCTGTACAGCAGCAGTATCCTCATATACGATATATATATATATATATATATATATATATATATATATATATATATATATATATATATATATATATATGTATGTATATATATAATATTTATATATATTATATACAAATATATATACACATATAACATATATGTATATATGTATGTAAATATACCCCCTAACTATGCTTACTTATTTTTACTTAACTGTACTTTGTTATCCTCCTATACCACGGGCAGTCGAGGGGAGATGGCATTGTTGGAAGTGGATCAGGTGTGTTGCGATGTTGATCCTTACGGGTTGGAACCTGTCCTGGTCTTGATGCTCTGGTCGTCAGTGAACAGCAGTTCGTTGAGTTGTTCTGAGTTGTCGTTTGCTTCGTATGTTATGTTATCCACGTAGACTAGGAAGATTAATGGCTGGCCACGAATCGAACGAATATATCTGATAAGCAGTGTGCACTAGTATTACAGGTCAGAAGTGGAATATATGGAATACAAACAGGTCAGAGATCCCATTGGGGGCTCTCGTGGTCTGGAGGTGCGGTGTTCATCTTTCATTCAATAGGTCCCGGATTCGAAACCTGGTAGCCACAGAAAATTTTCTTCTGTAAATTTTCTCCTTTCATCTTCTTTTCTGCTCTCTAACGGTTCTGTTGTCTGGTTTCGTCTACATTTTCTGCCCCTCCCCCCTCTTTTTTGCCCCCTCCTCTGGGCGCCTGACTCCTTCTGTTGCCTTTCTACTGCTTCTCCTCGGCGAAAAATCTCGTAGGTCCCACCTGCAAGTTGTGTCTGTTAAAGATCCCTTGGTGATCCTAAAATCGGTAAGAGTACATAAATTCCTGAAAATCTGAACATGTTCAATGTGTCCCGGTTGCTCATGTGACTTTATGCTGTTGCGAGCGCCGTAAAACACCTAACCCCCCCCCCCCCAACAACAATAAAATCCCATAAATATCATTCGCTGCACTGTGTTCGCTGCGCTTTGTTCGCTGTGGTGTTTACTCGAGTAGCTAAAATCCCTCTAATAGTACCGACTTGTCTGCAGCCTTGCATATAATAATATTATGAATTCGATGCTATAAGAAATGTAGCACACGCTTCACTTTATCCGGTTAATTAAACATTAATCCCCATTAAAATTCAGTGACATTTCCAATGCGGATCCCGCAGTCTGAGGCAAAGTATTGATAGAGTACACGAAACACATACTCTGGAATGGAATTATTTCACGGTCTTGATTTCGAGGCATGAAGGGGACTACGGAGACGCCAGCGGGAACGAGATAAAAAAAGAGGGGAGGTGGACGGAGGGGGGATTAGGAAGAGATGAAGGAAGGCTATATTAAAGTTAACGTGGAGGGGGGAGAGGGAGAGGGGATAGTTTTCTAGCTTCTATTGTGTTAATTCTCCTTTCCTTTCGACGCTTCGGGGGCACTCTCAGATTCAATCCTCGTTGACCGACAGGCGGAAGCCTCCGCGTACAACCTCAAAATACTACTTTTTGATCCAGGCTGTGGCCATAGTGCTTTCCGTGCGGCGCTACCAGTTGTGTAGTACAGTGTGTGTAGTGGTGAAGTTCACGGACATTAACTAAACAATGTTTTGGCGCTCATATGACCTTATGCAGTTGCGAGCGACATAAAACCCTCTACTATAAAAAAACACCCAATGTTTCTCCTATTCCGATTTATAAAGACAGTATCAGCAAATCTCTAGATAACCATTCTTTGTTCGATGTGCATATTTTTCTGTTGCGTATCTCCGGCAAACGAAGTAATGATGGCATTCCCGATTTGAACAAGGATACAACGGTCCTGTTTTTTGATACAGCTTGAGTTTTGTGTGTGTCTTACTGACAATCGGTACCATAGAGCTCATTACTGACCATCGGTGTGGGGTGGTTCAACTTTGTTTTCTTTCGTCTCCTTGCATATTGAAAAAAAAACTTTTTTGTGCTTTGTTCTTATTATTGATCTTATTATTATTATTATTATTATTATTATTATTATTATTATTATTATTATTATTATTATTATTATTATTATAGTTGGACAAGGAGTTGGACAAGGTTTTGTTTTCTTTCTTTAACTCCACAATTGCGGCCCTTTTACCAGCTGCACTTTCTTTAACTCCACAATTGCGGCCCTTTTACCAGCTGCAAAACTACATGTCGCTACATGTCGAAAAATATTTTTTAAATTTAAAATAAATAAATAATATGATACGTATGAATCACTCGTCACAAGTTATCAAAACGGTTGGCTTCTTACGAGACATAATTATTGTTTTCTCTTTGTATTTGTTAATCAGTGGGAATTTTCAGCTAAATTACAGTAGGCTATTCGTTTTCCTAGGCCATGCTTATAATAAGGATAAAAAACAACTATTGTTGATAGCGCCAATCAAGACAACCACAGTACCGCCTACGCACGAGAATGTTTTTACCTCAAAACAGTAGTATTTTATGTTTATTGATTAAATTGTCAAAAAGTAGGACTGTACTGTAAGTACGCTAATTTTTGGTTGCCACTAGTAAGGCAGAAACGTGCCCTTCGTCCCGGGGAAAAATGACTTTCGGTGATGCTGCAGCTTTGGAAAGAATATTGCACATAACTCAGTTTTAAATAAATATCAATTTTCTGAGAATAGAAATCCATATTGTCTAATATCCTATTAATTATCAAACATTTAGTTCAGTTTGATGTTTTCAATTGTTTGTGGATTAACAATTGTTCCGAGCAAGGGTAATAAAATAGATACAAAGAGTGCATGCATATCCCACGTGCTACAACGAATATTGATTGGCGATAACTATTCAAAATATCGCTATAGTACTAGTACTTTATTGTAGTCACCCAAGAGAGATTGTAAGCGCATCTCACCATCAGAGAAATCGAGACGTCGGCATGCTCCTCGCGTTTCTATTATTGCCAGAACATTTAACGTCAACAGAAAAAAAAACTAACGTTGAATGTCCTGATTTAATGTCAAAAGTTTTCTGATTAGTAAAGAGTGAACTGTTCTCACGCATTCTCTAGCACAATGTGTGTTGACGCTATAACAAGGCTAAACTGTCGGAGAAACTTTCGCGAGATGTCAAGGCAACCTGGGGAAAGCTGTTACGATTTCTGGCGCCGGCTACAACGCATTTGTTTCCGCTGGTATGAGGTGGAGGACGTTGGCGGTATCTTCGAAAATTTGCACGATCTCTACATGAGGGAGCAGTTGGAAATTGGATGCGGCGTTCGAGTGAAATCGCTGATGAAAGAGGCAGATGTAAGGTCCGCCAGGGATTTCGCGTTGATGGCCGACGAACAATTGGCGCAATTTGGGGACGAACCAGGTGGGTTGGTGGATGGTTTAGTTGGCCGGGGGCGGGTGTCTGGGGCTACTAGAGCTGTTGAATTGTTTGGTTTATGTAGTAGCACAGTCATTAGGTTGATTGACTGGGGGTGGGGGGGGGGGGGTGGAAGCAGAGAATTTGTTAATTGCTTATTCATTGTTATCCATGCTGTTGCTGCTGGTGCAGCTGTTACTGCTGGGGCTACTGGTACTACTACTACTACTACTACTACTACTACTACTACTACTACTACTACTACTACTACTACTACTACTACTACTACTACTACTACTACTACTACTACTACTACTGCTACTGCTGCTACTGCTGCTGCTGCCGTCGTTGAAGTCTTCGTTGAAGTCTTCGTTGTTTTCTCGTCGTTGTTGTTGTTGGTGTTGAGCTTCAGTTTTCGGTCTGCCCTCGCTTTTGCTGTCATGTTGGAGGCAAAAAAATAAAAATAAAAATTATTTTTTAAAAATCAGACTTAATGGTGCCATTCGCGGTCGCGTGTTATCACATGGGGATAGAAGAGTGAAATAATTGATATAACATTTTGTGCACCTAATACTAACTGGACTGTCTCACCCTTTCATTAATTGCGGCCTATGTAATGTACTTTCTCTTTAGAGACGGGAACTTTCAATGCCCGTGATATTTGAGTTGTCGCTGGACGCAATTTCGCTTCTTGTCCACCAATATTGGGTGTGTTGCATATTTTTCTAATTTTCTTTTTTAGGCTCACCAGCCTTTACGTCAACTTAAAACACATTTTTGTGTGGGTTTTACTGAGAAACATTGATTAAAGACACTAAAAATATTAATTTTCAGTCTCAAGAACTTTCAGGCTATGGAAGCTACCAAACTTTGGCGGCCATTTTCTAGCTCATTTTACCTCTGAAACCAGGCGTTCCTTACCTCCTTCAATTGAAAATATTTCGACTTCTATTCAACGCAGATGGGTATTTTTTTCTCCTAAAGGTATCAAATGAACAGGCTGTAAGATGATACCAATAACCCATTTAGCCCAGAAATTGACGAGCGCCTGATTCCATTACGCCGTAACACAAATAACTTTTTTAAAACCCATATTTCCTCGATTTCTACACCGTGATAATTTCATCTTTTTGAGTAGAATAGGGCAACTCTTGACCTTTCTGCTTTAGGACATAGGATGATTTTTGGCCTTTTCCTCTTTCAGAATAATACTATTATAATATCATCTTAAACATAATCTGTAGTCTATACGATAGCAATTGATGTAGCCAGCTACTCCTTTCGATGCAGAGGCGTCTCCATTTACGATTTTACAGTCGAGATAAACATTTATAAAAGGAGATTTAAATAAAGCTATTATACCAGGTGTAACCCCCCGCAAGACGACCCATTTAAAAGGCAATATCTCAGTAATCTTTAAACTGAATTCAGCAACATTTCGGAGATATAGAAATCAACCAGAGGTACCTTACATTGGTCAATGTGAAAAAAACCCCAGTCGACACGTTCCAAAAATATCGAATGTTAAAAATTCAACCAAAATTGAGTGATATGCAATATTTTGCAACTTACTGAAAACAACACACTGTTCTATTTCAAATAGTCACTATTTGTGTGTTGAAGAACGAAGTTATTTCAAATTGATATTGCTTTAATATAATCAGGGCAGGTGGTGGCCATTAATTAACTCTCCAGGTTTTAACCAGTTCTCTCAATACAAGCTCCTATACGACACTGTAAATTCTGAATAACCCTGTGGTCAGTATCTGGGTCGATTCTTTTCTTTTCGGGGGACTCTGTTGGTCAAAAAACCCAGAAGGTAATGATTGAGGGAGCTCAAGTGCGGGGTAATGTGGTAACCATTTATTTGCAAACTTTCGGCTTTATAAGGTGTGATGTGTGAGTTGTGGTCCCGTCCCACTGGAACCTCTTTAGCATAATACATTTTCCTTTCCAAACGTCTCCAAAAACTTGTTCAGCTCAGTGTCATACACATCTGATGTGACTGTCGTGGCTTTAACGTCCTTGCCCCGAAACTAGAGCTGGGCAATGAGTCGCTTTAACAAAATCCGGATAATAGGCTAGTGCATCTCTTCGGCAAATAATATAACATGAAGCCCTTCGGCAAATGGGTTAGTACCACTTTCACAAACAGGTTAACACTGCTTAAATAAATGGATGCACCCACTTCGGCAGACAGGTCAGGAAAGAGAGTTAATAGTCTGAATTCGGATTATGTTTCATTGAGAATTATCCGGTTATCCTTATATTTTATCCGGATTTTGCCCACCTCTACCTGAAACCAGATCGAACCAATCACTCCTCTGTAGCTTAAAGCTTGAAAGAAGCAAAATTTCGCGTTTTACCCAATTTGGCACAATTTTTAAAAACTTGAAAATACCTCGAACACGTGGATTTATTATTTTTCATATCAACAAACATGATGTCGAACAGACTGGATTTTATTTGTTCGAAGTTCTGTTGAAATTGATGCAGAGATGACCACGCTAAGACCCTTAAAGCGGTCGTCCTTTCTTCTTCAGACACCTTGTATGTTGCCCCTTTAGAAAGAATAGGCAACTGCACAAGTTGCAAACATAGAACATCTAACAAATCCTGTCTATAGTAGGAGAAAAAACCAGCTTTAGGAGAACACAAATGACAATTACACATGAAGAGATTAAGAAAAGAAGAGCAACATTTTGTCCCCTCCCTTGGTGGCACAAGGGGCGCTGTTTGTCTGGTCTCAGCTGGTTGGTTGCTTCTTTTATGTTCTGATTCACGCGTTGTAAACATACACTGCATTAAAAAAAATAACATCCAGAGCCCTGTTGTCGTCTCAGTTATTGTCGCTGCTAACTCTGCCAGAAATCACCCCTCCAGGCGATAAGGATTCACTGGTTTGACTGCCTTTGATGTTTGAAGGACAGACTTCAATATAAAAAGAAATGGAGACTCCGTTTCATCGTTGAGATTTTACACTTAGTTACTCACTTACCTCTTTTTCTTTCTTCCTCTCCATGCCCCCCCCCTTACCCTCTTCCATCTTTGTCTGTCTGTCTGTCTGTCTGTCTGTCTGTCTGTCTGTCTGTCTGTCTGTCTGTCTGTCTGTCTGTCTGTCTGTCTGTCTGTCTGTCTGTCTGTCTGTCTGTCTGTCTGTCTGTCTGTCTGTCTCTCTGTCTGTCTGTCTCATCCTGTCTCTGTGCCTCTCTCAATCTCTCTCGCTCTCGCTCTCAATATCTCTCTCTCAATCTCTCTCTCTCTCTCTCTCTCTCTCTCTCTCTCTCTCTCTCTCTCTCTCACACACTGTATTATGTAACCTATACAAACGCTTTCTGCCGCGACTCTCTTTCTCACACTCTGTTAGATTCTTCCTCTTTCTCTCCGTGCTCCATATAATGTACTAGACTTTTTCTTATCTTTGTTTTTTGCTCTATATCATTATGATTCCTTCAGTGAATGTTTTTCCTCTACTTTTCCATACTTTGCATGGGTTGGGAGGAAAGGAAAGGGGCTGCCATGGACTGGTAGGCGAAGAAATATACTGACAACTTGCATACATAAGCATAACGTTGTTTTGTTTTTTTCGAGGCAATGATTGTGTGCTCTGCAAAACTGGTCAAACGTTACGTAGTTTTTGATTGGTACAGTTTTTAATTGATTCTTTTTCACGGTCAGAACATCTGATTGTCGTATACAAGCTGGCCCATTCACGGTCATTCTTACCCTTCACTCAGACAGCGCGAGACTGGTGCTGTTTCGTAGTTTCTATACATTATCGACAAATCTGAGTGACAATGTCGAGTCGTAGAAGTCCACCCTGAAGTCGCCAGTTCTCACTGACATGTTTCTATATGATGGCTATTTCAAAAACTATTTTCTTCTTTTTTTTTACTAGCTTTCCTCTTCTTTCTATCATACTCATACACGCACGCACGGACGCACGCATTATCCTTTTAATGTTCTATTTTTTTTCATAAACAAACTACTGGCATATTGAGAGTGAAGAGGTGTCAGAACTCAACATTGACGTATTTCAGTACTAGACGGCATGCTAACGACACATCCACGCCCATTGCCCCCCACCCCCAACCCGGAGGAAACTTGTGAGGTTGCTGTCATGACACGATTTGAACTACAAATCTCTCAAACGCTTCTCTCTCTCTCTCTCTCTCTCTCTCTCTCTCTCTCTCTCTCTCTCTCTCTCTCTTCCCATTCAACTCTCCTCTTCTTGTTATCTCCTATTCCCTCCTCACACCTACACAACCTCTCCTCTCACCCTCACCCTCCCCCCTTTGTTTTTTTCTATCTCCCCTCCTTTCACCTCTACCCTTTCTCATTCCCTTTACCTACCCACACACACACCCATACGCCCACACTCACACAAACACACACACACTGGATACACACGCACACACACACACACACACACACACACACA